TTGTGTACAGGAAGCATTAAACCATCAAAGTTAAATGATTGTTTATTGCTTATGAATTTCCCATATTTTCTTTAGCAGGGGGTTTCAAACTTTTTAATGGCAAGGAGCCCTAAACAATACCCTTGTGAGATTCTTTATTTAGGCTTATAATATAATAAAATATAGGCCTAATATAACATAATAAAATATAATATAAAAAAAAAACGAATTGAAGTATTTGAAGTGATATAATATATCAGTTTAAATGCTTCAATTTGTTTACATATTATATTATTATAATATGAAAACAAACTGAAGCATTTAAATAGATCTAATAGCTAAATATTTTCAAGAAAAGTGAATGTAAACTCTTTTATAATCTAACCATCCCTGAAACACCCCCACACACACAAAAACATCTATTTAAACTAATGATGTATTTTGAGTTTGCACGCGGGTGGGTGTGTAATTGTTACCGTTCTGTGTCCAACAACCGTTATTTCCACCACTTTAATCAAACCACTCTTCTTTAAAACATTATGATGTGATTTTATTTCACATGTCTTTGCGTTTCTCGTTGCCTCTCGTATTGAGCTATTTGGTCCGCACACACAACTCACTGCCAATCACACGCGCTCACATCGTTCTCTTTCTATGAAACCTGTAAACTGCATTCACCAGTTTTCTCTCTATAGCGGTTGACCAGAGCACTGAAATTATTTCTCACTTAAACTACAATCATATGGATTTCCCCCACATTTCGCGTCAGTCCTCTGCGTGGCATTTTATTCTTTTCTGCGCGGCCGCCGCTTCAGAAGTGCGCAACCGCGCACGCGCGCAGCTTAGAGGGAACATTGGCTGCAGTGTTGTTGTTTTTTTTTTTTTACAACAAAATCTGTTCACATTCACAAATGTGAGCCTTAATGGAGAAACAGCGCAGGTTTGGTTTGAGAACATGAACTGACCTTGCTGGGGCTCCTGAAGCTCTGCACCGGGCTCATGTCAACCACACTCTCCTGGGGACTTTTCAGACCCTGGCAAAGAAAATCAACAATAAACCATAAATATTAGGGTTATACTATACTATCGACTTATGGGTGGGTTTAGATGCTGCAGATCCCTAATATGATAATCCTCTTTAGCAATAACAATAAAAAAATTAGCAATAATCCACCAATGGGAGCAAAAATGTTTAACGACACATAGGGTACAACGGGGCTAAAGGCGCACCAGGGTAAAAGGCGTATTTGACTTTATTCTCTTTTAAACCACTAATTTGATCTAATATGTAATAATGTTAAAATGTTGTAGATTTATGTAGCAAATGACAATCGATAAAATTACTGACTATATTTTGATACAAAGTTCTTGTTAATGGTTTTGTTCAAGGTAAATAAAGCAACAGTTTTTCAATTACGGAAGAATATGTATTTGGGGTAAAAGACAATAATTAACATGATAAGAAATAGCTGGTTGACTTTTCCATTTGTTGAAATGACATGGTTAGATTCAGATGGTAAATATCATACATCGAATTGGGTGTCTACCTTAGAGAGTCACCATATTTATAATGAAACCATATTTAAAAATATATATATATAAATATATATATGATATTAATCATATCATATAATAAAATGTCAGATTTATTTGTTACGACTGTAAAGCTTTATTAAATTAATATGGGATCTCCTTAAATGCTTTCAGAATCTTTAGTTTTTTAAATCATTTTGTTTCTGTTTTTTTTTAAATGAACACTTTAATGACAGCATATTTGTTGAACAAAAACTTTATTTATCAAAATAACCCCCAAAAATGGCACACATTTTGCTAAAGTGATTGTTTTGAACCAGTATTAACTTAGACATTGTTAAAAGCATATTATTTTAGCTAAAGTGTTTGTATCAATCAAAGAAGTATGTCTTTAGTTTTTACCCAATGTGTAGAATAAAAGGCTCACCATGGCACCTCGTACATTTATAAGATTTTTTTTTTTTTTTAAAATGATGATTTATTTTCACACAAAATCTGTTGCTCCATCAATTTCCAATTAAAAACATATCATTTTTTCTGAATTTTTTTAATGAAAAGCACATTTTTCTTAGGTTAAGCCTTTAACCCCTTTGTACCCTACGTTTGTATTCTAAACGTCTACAACAGTTATATGACAGGTCAAAAAAGGAAGAGGTTATTGATTTGCAGCATCTTCTTAAGCAACTGGCCAAGAGCTCACATTACCTTTTTATAGTAATCTTTCAGTTATTTTTGTTAATGACTGAATGCGTTATGATACTATGAGGAAATGTGCAGGTCTATAAACTGTACATAAGCTGTTTTACTGTTAATTTGTATTTAGCAAGCACGCTAGCTTATTAAAATGCTTCCGGATTCGTCAATGAAAGCAAGAAGCAGACTGATGTGAGAGGAGAAATAACACACCTGACGGGACATCAGAGACTTGATTTTCTGCATCGTATAGCTGAACAGCAGTAAAACCCAATGTATCCTTTGGTGTTTTTCTGACAAAACGGCGATTCAGTTCCTACAGTGCTACACAGGTGCCATGTTTCACTGTTGGGATCACGTGACAAGTGGCCAGTGCAGCATGGGATATGTAGTTCCTCGGAATATAATACCGGTATACAATTTAAAATAAGGCAGAAATAGCTGCGAGTATGGAAGCCCATTTACGAAATTTTCACAATTTTTGCATAAAAAGTTAAGTCAAGTCAAGTCAAGTCACCTTTATTTATATAGGCTTAGCGCTTTTTACAACACAGAATTGTATCAAAGCAACTATACAGCGATAACATGAAAATAACAAGTTTGTTTCTACGTGAAGGACTATATGTTAACAGCTTGCTCAAGTACTGTCAAGTAAAAGCACAACATAATGATAAGCTTGCTCAAAAGTCAACATTATGACATACAAAGTAGGCTAATAAATACTGTAAATTATTGTAGATCGTGATACTGTAAATGTTTTTATCAAAATTTGTATGGCTATTTATCATTTTTTGGTCATAATTTAGACTTATGTCTCATAATTATTAGTTTTTATATCATAATTCCAACGTCTTATGTCACAATTGTGACTTTTTATGGCACGTTTTTTTTTCCTTATTGGAAATGGGCTTTTAGTATAGGCCTACTCGCCTATTCTTGTGATGTTATATATTGTCAGCACTTTCTGCAGACAAAACGGTTCTTCTCATGCTTATTTGTTTAATAAATTTTACATTTAAAGCAAGTTAATAAGCTGGCATGCCTCTGAGAGCAATTATAGGCCTGTATTTGTATACAGCTTTATAGAAGCCATCATTAGAAATTTTCATATTTTGCATCACCACTTTTTGGGAGATGAATAGGAAAGACGAAGTTAGCCTATCTCCTGACTTTTCTAACCATTTCTAGACCGCCGGCTACACTAAAATGCTTATTTTTGTCTTTTAGCATAGAAGGCATTGCTGCATTGTGTTGCACTTCAGTAGCCTACCAACAGACACATAAAATGAATTCTTGGAAAAACCGGATTCTTGGAAAAAGCGACAATACCTCATTTGTTTACCTCTCAGAGATTAGTTTACAGCAAATATATGAGCTACCTGCAATAAATATTCTATAGCGTGGGTGTTTGAGACGAGTCTCTCTAACTGGCTGTTCATGCTGATATGAGCACACATAAGAGAGCAGTGTTTTCCGTCAATAAAGTGCTGATGATTTCCCAGTCAAATGAGGGAGTGGCACCTCCTCCTCCCCCAGGCGGAGAGCTGTTGATATAATACTGCTGCTCTTCCCGAGAAACAGAGGGAAGAAATGCGTACTCATATTATAAATCCACTGCCTGTTTGTTCAGGTAATAGCTGATGCTTATCAGACAATCTCTCTGGGGGTATAGAAGAATACCCATCAGTGTTGAAAGGGTTAGTTCACACAAAAAGGAAAATTATCCCATATTCCTTCAAGCTATCCACATGACTTACTGCTTTCAGCCTATCACAATCTGAGATATATTAAAAACTATCCTGGCTCTTACAAGCTTTATAATGGAAGTGAACTTTATAAACTATAATCACTGGCTTCCGGCAACGGGCGTAAGTGAGTCTAGTTCCGGCAGAAGAGTGACCTCTGACCCGACGCACGACTTAATTATAAATTATAAATATGAATATTTTCTTACAAAAAAGCATCGCTTTGCTTCAGAAGGCCTTTATTAACCCCCTGGAGCCGTATGGATTATTTTTATAATGGATGGATGCGCTTTTTGGGGCTTTAAAATCTAAGGTACCATTCACTCCCATTATAAAGCATGGAAGAGCCAGGACATTTTTTAATATAACTCTTCTTGTGTTTGGCTGAAAGAAAAAACTCATATACACCTAGGATGGCTTGAGGGAGAGTAAATTATGGGATACATTTTATTTTTGGGTGAACTAACCCTTTAATGTAATTTATCAGCAAAATATGTGCACAGGAAGACTCACTGCCATACTTACAAAAATTCTAAGTGATCTTTTTAAAATGTTAAACATTTACACATTTATTGATGCACAAATAAGCGAAAAGAGACTAAACAATCTTGAACTAAAATGGACAATTTTGATATTACCTCTATAGTGTTGGGGAGAGTTACTTAAAAGTAATGCATTACAATATTGTGATACTCCCTTAAAAGTAACGTATCGCATTACTTTATGGTAAGTAATGCATTTCATTACTTTTGCGTTACTTTTTCTCATTTGGGCAATAACCATTATGTTTACACAGCGCACACAACTCTGCGCTTACTCCTGATTTCTCTCAACATGGAAACATGAGAGGTGTCAGTCAATAAACGGGAGAACAAAGTAACTTGCAAGAAGAAAGTAACTTTGATATTTCTTGTACATTTAAATGTAATGTGTTAATTTACTAGACACTTAAAAAAGGAATCTGATTACACAACTCGCGTTACTTAATGAGTTACCCCCTATATCTTATTATATCTTATATTTAATAAAAAAGAAAAGAATGCAAATATATATTTTTATAAACCTTTATTTTCAAATAACGAATGGATGCATCTATGTTTAAAATGTGAACAGGTGCAACACAGAAAACAAAATAGACAGAAGATGTCTATTGATGAAATGTGGCGTCTCTAAAATGTAATGAGCAATATCACAGAATACACTGCAGTGTGCAAAAAATACAGTTTCAAAGTACAAAATGCATACATATTTACATTTATTATGCAAGAAAATCGATGTAAGACGACAACTGTATTTATATATAAATACTCTTAGTTTTTCATTAAGCATGTTGTTGCTACAGAATAAAATCTCATAGTTCTCTTTCTTATATATTTTTTAACGAAAATAAAAACAAAAAAAGTGCTCAGCACAAGTTATGTTTTTCAGATTTTAGGAAGTATAAAAAGTAAGTATAAAAATGAATAACTGTAAAGCAAAAGATGTGCTTAAATGTGTGACTGAGAAAAAATGGCACAAAAAAAATAATGAGTAAAATGCATTTCATCTTTACATCTGAGCACACGTGAATATCCACCTCTCTCACTTCAGAAGACTCAGTGTAGGAGTTTCAGGCACATGTCTGATGACATCATAGATGGTGGTATGCAAATCTCTGACTGAATCGAGCCGTGCCAAAGACCTGCAGGATGCCTGGAAAACAGAGGGAAGAAATAACAAACTGTTCTGGGGCAAAACTGCTCATGCAAAATAGCAAAGTGATAATTTTCTACCTGTGTTGAATCCATTTTCTCAGGCACAGAGACAAATTCATAGATGCCAAAGTCTTCAGTTGCATCTTCATGACCTGCAAATATTATTCAGATTAGTGTATATACAATACAAAGCTAAATTTAGGCAATTAATATAAATATGTTTACTTTATTTGCCATTAACTTCTATTGAGATCTAATGTTTTAAAAGCTATTTGTTTCCATTAGACAGCGTATGAATCATTTTATCCACATTTTTAGTTGACTAGCACACTAGTTTACTTTAGACAGTAAGTAGTTAATAATATCCTATTTATTTTCAAAAGGGAGTGACAGTGTACGTGGCCAAGTAAAGCCAAACCAGCGAGGTGGAAAAAATGTTTAAAGCGTATGCTGACAGAAACCAAGCAGATATGATTATAGTTGTAATGTTAATGGGATTGGGGAGTTTGTTTGTACAGAGAGGCAGTGTACACATCAGTGCTTAACAACACAGGTATATTATAGTCCGAGGCGTGCAGTAAACGTACCGGAGCGGTGCAGTCCTCTCTGCTCTGTCATAGGCCTGGAGGACAGGATCAATCATCAATGACGTCACAGATATCAATAAATGCGTCATATTTATCACATGCTTGTATAAATTAGAACTATTTACTTACCGCTTGTATATAGTCTTTATCACTGTAGAAAAATAAAAATCAGTTAAAAATTATTTCTGTCTCAGTAACTGTGGCCAATTTAAATAAGGCATGACAAACACTAAATTACTCATTAAAGACCCCTTGAAATCAGTAAATATTCGTTTTCTGTCCTGTGTTTACAAATTTCGGTAACATTAGAATAATGGACCATCATCAATAAGTACCTATGCAGGAAGTAATGCAGGACTAATACATAAACATTTCAGATACTACTGTTTACTAGTATAGAAACAAGCTTAACTAATCAGTAAGTAATGTCACATTTAGGAGATAATTCCTTATTTTAATCAATAATTACTTAATGAGATTAGCCTCGTTAATAACTATTAACTAACTGACAAATTATAGAGAACATTATCATGAGTCTGAGATGTAATCAGTCATCTTTTTTACTCTGAATATAGTCATAAAATGCAGCATCACTAATTACTCAAGTGTTACCTAGTCACTCTGCAATAACTACTAGTGATCTAGACTATTATTTTAAAGTGAAAAACATGTTTTTTGAATAACTGACTTTGTTCAAATTACACATTATTAAGTTGATGCCTGAATATTGTTAAAAAGCAGAATGTTTTCATACTTCTTTTGGGATGGCAGCTCTTCCTTAGGAGCACAAACATCATACACACAATGATGACGACTGAGAAGACTGTGATAAAAGTCAATGAAGACAGCGCACTCCCTTCCTGGATATATTTCGCTTTTCCTGGAAACAGATCGATATATCAGCATTACATTTTATATTTTGTAATAAATCATAATCTGGTGTGTGATCTTCATCTTTAAACAACCAAAAACTTGCATTGCATGTTTGCATTCACAGTATACACTGAAAGAAAATTCACGGCCTGTAACGATGTAAACAATAAGAACAGGTGCTGGCCCCTGTTTACTTTCCAGTGGAACAGCAAGACTTAATCACAGGTGGGACAGATTTACTTAGCAACTGGAGAACAAAAAAACACCTTGCCACGACCATGCAGTGTGACAATGGATGGAACAAAGGAATAACAAACAGGAGAGATTAACTGATAACACCAAAGCCAATGACAATTTTTCTAATGTGTATTATTATTATTATTATTCAATTATTTAAAGCTTCAATAATGTCGGTCTACTTCGGCTTAATCAGGGAAGAAGAATTTAATAAAATAATTTAAAGGTTAATTAAAGGTAGGGTAGGCAATTTTGGAACGGCTAGCAATAGGAAGCTAGCTTTGAGAAGTTATAACTGCAGACCAGAGATCTCCAAAATGGGCAGGGTTTCCACAAGGGGGCAGAACCTCCACAAGGGGGCAGGGTCTCCACAAGAGGGTAGAACCATAGATATCCATTATCAAGGCTAGATGTCTCGTCCGCGCTGCTGGCCAATGGAGGTCGACGTCCGCACCTGGCGGCCATCTTGTCACAGGCAGCTCGCTCACTCGTAACATTGTGTTTTAATGGTGCATGTACTTTTTAAATAACCATAACTAGCTAAATTTTCTACCGATTTTCAAACGGTTTGGTTTGTTATAAACGTCAGAGATGTAGTTATGACACTGCATACTTATGAATAATAAGTGTATCGATAAATAATCATCCAGAATTATAGCCACGTTAATAACGTTTGTAAGAAACCAACCCGTTTGTAAATCCGTCAAAATTTAAACGAGATAAGAGTATTTGTGTTCGTGCTGATCACTCATCTTACATCAGGTACCACAGAGCCCGCCAGAAAGCTCGCCTGTGACAAGATGGCGCCGGTGATGACGACAGAGACTCCGCCGTAAGACATCTAGCCTTTATTATGGATATCTATGGGTAGAACCTCCACAAGTGGGCAGGGTGTCCACAAGGGGGCAGAACCTCCACAAGGGGGCAGGGTTTCCACAAGGGAGCAGGGTCTCCAATAAGTGGGCAGAACCTCCACAAGGGGGAGGTAGGGGGCAGAACCTCCACAAGGGGGCAGGGTTTCCACAAGGGGGCAGGGTCTCCAATAAGTGGGCAGAACCTCCACAAGGGGGAGGTAGGGGGCAGAACCTCCACAAGTGGGCAGGGTTTCCACAAGGGGGCAGGGTCTCCAATAAGTGGGCAGAACCTTCACAAGGGGGCAGAACCTCCACAAGTGGGCAGGATTTCCACAAGGGGGCAGAACCTCCACAAGTGGGCAGGGTCTCCACAAGGGGGCAGAACCTCCACAAGGGGGCAGAACCTCCACAAGTGGGCAGGGTTTCCACAAGGGGGTAGAAACTCCACAAGGGGGCAGAACCTCCACAAGTGGGCAGGGTCTCCACAAGGGGGCAGAACCTCCACAAGGGGGCAGAACCTCCACAAGGGGGCAGGGTTTCCACAAGGGGGCAGGGTCTCCAATAAGTGGGCAGAACCTCCACAAGGGGGAGGTAGGGGGCAGAACCTCCACAAGTGGGCAGGGTTTCCACAAGGGGGCAGGGTCTCCAATAAGTGGGCAGAACCTCCACAAGGGGGCAGAACCTCCACAAGTGGGCAGGATTTCCACAAGGGGGCAGAACCTCCACAAGTGGGCAGGGTCTCCACAAGGGGGCAGAACCTCCACAAGGGGGCAGAACCTCCACAAGTGGGCAGGGTTTCCACAAGGGGACAGGGTCTCCAATAAGTGGGCAGAACCTCCATAAGGGGGCAGGGTCTCCACAAAGGAGCAGGGTCTGTACTCGCAAAGACTTGCATCTTTGATTATGGCTTAAACCAATTGTCATTGACTTGCATTTCTAAATAATAAATTGTAAATAACACATAGTTTTTTTGTTGATTTACTGTAAAATAAAAAGTTAATTTTTACACGTGGGTAACTTGTACTCTATTGCTTTGTTCTAAGCGACGGGGGAATCCCGGAGCTCGAGATTCACAGGGTATAAGGGGGCAGTGATGCTGTGTGCAACTAAAAAGGTCCCATTTTCTGGTGAGGTCCGGTTGGGGATATACGGCACGGCGATCTCATTTCGTATGATCTTATTAACTGCTTATCTCCTGAACTGACATTTGCTTTAACACTCTATTCAGCATAAATCCTGCCCTGCAGTCGATTTCATTGGTTAAGGTTAGGGTGTAGGGTAGCTTTAGGGGTTAGCATTTGTTGTTGTCTAACCGAATGCAGTGATTGGACGAAATTTTTTTGGTTCTGAGACTTCCACAGAAGATATATGTACATTTTTTTTAATATTTAGACCAAGCTATTATTGAATGCCATCAGGATGTGAAGAAAGTTTCAACCAGAATAACAAAAAAAAATTATGAAAGAAATTGCCTACCCTACCTTTAATTTTGAAATTACCATCATTATGTTTTAGATGTGCATCAATATGAGTTTTTGGGACTCCAACACAAACAGTAAAGACATATCAACAGCACATGAACTAATGTACAGATCCACAACTGTAGGTGGCAGCAAGCATACCTGTAAATCTGGCCACCACCAGCGTGAACTTGGTCTCGTCCTGCTTCTTCGTCACATTGTTGAATGCTCTACACAAGAACTCTTTACCCTGAGGTAACTCATACGGCTTCACTTCAAACCGCGGTCCAATCATGATAACCTCTGTGCCGTTCTTTGTTTTAGAGATCCAGGTGCAGGTGTTGGGAGGGTTCGAGTCCGCATAACACTCAAAAAAGACCATTTCCCCAGGGTTCACTGTGAACACGCCTTCAGTTTTCAGACATTGGTCAGAATTTACTGCCAGGTTATAAGGCCCATCTGAAAAATTTGGTAAAGTAGCAAAAAAACATTATTAGTGGTTTGTTTTCCAACATTCATTTTTAAAATTTAATTGCAATTTTCTATTACTTTGTTTTAGTTCTACTAGACTAAAGTTCTAGTTCTACTATTAACTCTTTCCCTGCCAGTGCTTTTTTTAAAAAGTTGTCAGCCACCACCTGCGTTTTTGATCATTTTCACAAAATTTTCATTGCTCCCAGAATATTTTGTTGTATGAATATCTGAACATGTAATATATAAAAAGAAAGAACAGAGCCTCTGCTTTTAAACAAAAAAAATAACATTTTATTCTAGCTTTATTCATGCATTATTTTTTTATCAACACTTGAATGTGGGTAAGTTGCATATTTTTTTCTCAAAGACTACAACGTGCAAAAGCAAATTTTTTATCACTTGTTGTGCTCCTTGTTTTAATCCAGAGATTCAGTACTCTTTCATAAAATGCATAATAGAACCCACTACTGTATAAAAGTGAAAACACGAAAAAGCCGGAAAATTCCGTCAACGGCGGGGAAGCGTCGTCTCATAAATGAATGAAAATTCTGCCAATGCCAGGGAAAGAGTTAATTACTATAATAGTTATATTTCTTTATTCTGTAAGTTATACTGTACAACAACAGGAAGGTTAAGGAGCAAAATTTTGTAATTTTTCAGCTGGTCATGTGATTTCAAAATGGCGGCTCACTTCATGTAAAATAAATCAGCTTTTATTAGGCTACCGAAATTAGTCTTCATCTCATGTGAGTGTACGTGATTTTAAACTTTTTTTTTTTTTTTTTTTAAATACTAATGATTTCTTTAGTGGTAAAACTTTTTAGTGAGGAAAAAATAGGCTTTGCACCTTTAATAGCTTGACCCACTTTCATCTACCTTTGCTTTAATATAAAAGGCGTGTCAGGACAGATCATGTCTAACGTTTGCATTACAATGCAAACAGCAGTTCATTCTCTGCAGGAGGAACCTGCTGGACAGTGTGCAATAACGATCCAATGATTTACACATGGGATGATAACAGATGATAAATGAGTCAGAACAGAATGACAGATACTCACAGAACACACTGAGCTCAGCCTGCTTGCTTGGCGCACTGCTAATGTGGTTTATCGCCACACAAACGTATCGACCGATGTCTTCTTTCTTGACAGGGTTTATTACAAGCGTCCGATGATCTTGTGAGAATGTATGCCGCTCACTTGGACCAACAAAAAAGTTGTTCTTTAGCCATTCGAACAGAACATTTGTCCCGTGTTCAACTGAGCAAGTCAGCGTCACATTGTCCCTGTCTTCCACGATTTCTGATTCTGGGGTCTTACTAATGACAGGGACGGACACAGGCACTGGAAGCAGACAAGACATACAACTGAGTGCTTACAAGAAAAGAGATTCTCTAAAATATGTATGTATATGGCAGCCCGTTTCCATCTCAAAGAAAAAAACAGTAATTGTAAGTTTTAATTTGGGCTTTTTATCTCTAAACATGACTTTTTAAGTCATAATTCCGAATTTTAAAATCATAATTTCGATTTAGTTTGAATTTTTAAGTCATAATATAAAATAATATCGATTTAAGTCATAATCTTTATTTTTTTAATTTATAATTCCAACTTTTTAAGTCGTGATTTCAATGTAGTATCTCATAATTATGTCTTTTTAAGTAATAATTCCAACTTTTTAAGTCATAATTCCTACTTTTAAGTCAATTTCAATTTAGTATGCAATAATTTAGACTTTTAGGTCATAATTTCAACAATTTGAATTGACTGTCATAATTTCAGCATTATTTCTTTATTATCTGCCAGAAATGGGCTTCCACAGGAATCAGACTTACATTTGTATGAGAACCCAAAAAACACTCAAAGGCTCTTACCGCTGACTGTGACCGTTACTCTTTTAGTGACAGCCACTGGTTTGGAGATTTCCGGGAAGATGATGTTGATCTGCAGCTCATATTCCCCCTGTGTGTCCTCATCCAGATGCTCAAAATATAGTGAGACATCAGGCAAATTGAGCACCGTATTGTTTTTCAGGCGCAGATTTGGGATGGCATTGGTCTCTGTGAAAGTGACCAAATGAGTGTAATTGGGCTTAGTTTTATACCAGGCCCCCTGAAACTTTACATTCTGAACATCAAAATGAGTCTCAACTCTGAGGAGCATAGAGTCGCCCATTTTCCCATGACGCGTGGGCTCCAGTGAAATGTATTCAGAGTCTGTACCTGTTCAAAAGAGAGTGTAAAATGGCGTTTAATGACTTGTACTGTCAAAAAAATATATACACAAATAATTATTTTTATGTAATGTCATTAGAGTTCAATCATGACGTCAATTTGGATGCTATGTCAACATGGATTGCCTTTAAATGTTTTTTCAGAAAAGCAGTTTTAGATTTTGATTAAAATAAGGTCTACAGATGTGGACAGTAACTAAGTACATTTACTTGAGTACTGTACTTAAGTTAACTAAACTGAACTTAAAGAGACTTTCATATTTTGTTCTACACCATAAATGAAACAGTCATTGCTAAAAAGTTTGAAAGTACTGTATGTTCAAATGCCTTTATGTAGCAAATTAACATCTTGCATTTCTCAGATTTTAGAACTAAAAAGAGAATTTGTGATGAACTTGAAAAAAAAATCGAATCTTTTTTTTATTGGTGCCGTTTTTGTGAGTAAAAAAAAGAAATTTTAACAAAAGTAAATAACAGCCCTTGTGGAAAAAAAATACACTTTAGCGTACTTTTAACAAATGAACTTATTACAGAAACATACTTTAAAAGAATATTATAGTGCAAACTGAATGTTATGCTCTTTTTTTTAAACACTTAATTGCATGCATTAAATTAAAGTGTATTATAGTTTACATTTAGAGTTTTTGACCCACTTAAGTCTTTATATGTAATTTCAAATGTTCTTCAATTGTCTTTGAAATAGAAGCATAGCAAAAGATTATTAAAACATAATGATTTGAAATGTGCTCTAAAGTAAAGCTTTTATTTTACTTTAAGTAACAGTCATGAATACGTCAGTGGCATTTCATTTCATTAATATTATATTATCTGCACAGGTTTTTTATTAAAAATATAGCCTACTTTTATTATTTGAAGTACACTAAATGCACATTCAATATAATTAAGGACACTACTTTTTCACAAGGGACTACACACACTGAACTTTCCACAAAGCAGAAAATACCATCTATATGTACAACATAACGCCATCCTAGGCTTCAAATGCTCAATATTAATCTTCTCGGTCATTTGGGCAGAACGCTACTGCGTAAAAGCCTGCAATGTTTCTCATTAACAGTGACATTCATCGAAATCCGTTGCTAATCCGAGCAGTTTTCCTTCTCCTTTGGTTCAATTGGGCGCTTCAAGTAACCGTACAATAAGAAGTTTGCAGAATAAGACATAACCCTCACATAATCTGCAGCATTATTAATTAGTTCATACACACAGATCTGCCTTTGCCCTCTCCGCTTGATCAAGCCTGCATGAGCAAATATTGACCAGCTTCTCAGAATGATAGTGATCAAACATCAAGTCCTCTCTAATTTGTCTGAACTGGTCGGTGAGCAAACACTCAGTGAGGAACAGCTATCACACGTTACATGAAGTCATAGAGACCTCCGTATCACTGATCGCAAAAGTAATGCTCCGATAATGCTGTAAAGAGAGTGCGCTGCTCTATTGAACTCTAAACTGACATATCTCATTTACTTAAGGATAAGATTTCTTTAGCATGGACACAGTGATGGTTTAACTGACAGCTGTTAATCTGCATTAGGTTGCTAGGCAAGGCCGTGTGGCAGCAGGCAGGTATAGACAGTTTCACTCCTCTCTCGCTCTATCGCTCTCAGACCCCTTCACTACCCGGACACGGCCCTCTCCACCCCCTACTCGCTTTATCGGCCAGCTGACAGACAGTGTTGTGCATTACAATAGACAACTGTGTGGCTCGTGTTGTGCGCTAAATAATAAATAAAGAAACCCCTATTGCACACACCGAGAACCAGAGGGCAGGTTCAGTGGAAGTGAAAGTGTGCATGAGTTTACGGCACACTTCTCACTCACTCGCCTGTTCTGGTCTTATTGTCTCCAAACAAGGATTATTTCGGGGATAGCAACAGCACACTTAGACCACCACACTTAGACCTTCCAAAACACAAACAAACACTGCTATATTTGCTGTTCACATCCCATGACGGTCCAGTACAGATATTTGCGCTGTAACCAAAATGCACATACAAATGTGTGGACTGGAAAATGAACAAAAGCCTGACTGTGAATAATCCACTAAACCTTGAATGTTTGTGCATGTGTATTTTTAAAGCATCATGTGAGACAAAAATCAAAATGTAGGAAGCATCTGTCACAAGAGTATGAGTCATATATATATGTATATATATATATATACTGTATATATATATATATGACACACACACACACTATTTTCATATATATTTATATTTAAGGAAGAAGGTAGATGGATACCTTTTATGATTATGTATTATGATGATGACTGTTGACTTTCAGCAACACCCTTCATAAGATTATGTCAGGTAAAAAAATACATATATATATATAATACAGTATTTAAATATTTATAGTGAATTTCACTCTAAAAATTTATTTAATTAGATGATATATATATAATATGACAAACAATATATATATATATATATATGTATATACATACTGTCTTATTTTTATCTTGAAATATAATATTACATATTTGTACAATCTGTAAAAAATATTGGGAATTTATTAAAAATGTTATACAATTAAATAAATAAATAAATTATATATATATAATTTTATTTTGTGTATTAATTTAAATGGATTTATGAAAACATTGATTTTTGACAACAGCAATACATAGCACAAATATTAAGATTATGACCATTTGTGCTTATGTTAATGTTATGTTAAAATATTCAAAAATTAATTTAGCACACAATAATAAAACTATAATGCCACCACATTTAAAAACATTGAACATGAAATCATACAGATTTGTTTCTATCAAAAAATCTAAATTCAATTAAATTCAATATAATAAAATAATTAATGTTTTTAAATATCTATTTATTTACTTTTGTCCTATAAAATTAAATAGAATTGTGAAAAATTACATTTAAAACAACATAAGGACAAATACTGACAGTCACAGTAGGAATCTATTCCATCGAAATTTTCAAAATGGAAGTGAAAATTTCCACATGAAGGAAGTAATCGCCACACTGTCTCAGAATTACAGAATTCAAATCAAATCACAGTTTTAGTCTTTCAGGTTCTGTACCTGACATAATCATAATGTGCAGAGAACGATGTTTTTGCTGAAAGTCAACACTCATCATCATAATAAATAACAATTAAAGGTATCCATCCACCTTCTTCCTTAAGTATAAATATTAATGTATATGCACATAAAGTTGAATGACATCTTAGTTAAAATAATAAACATTTATTCTACTGCGAATTTCAAAAAATGTAAATGTATTTAATTAGATGATGTCCCAAAGTATTGGCTTTCTCCTAATGGCTCAACCTCAAACCTTTTTGGGCCAAAAATGACCGTGAAATAGTTTTTACTGAAAGTTCTGGTGCGTGACATCACTGCTGCCATAGCCATTCAAACAGCAATATAAATCATCTTACCAGGAACGAAGAGAAATAAGATGCTCATCAGAAGAAACATGGTGACTCCAACACATTCCATCTCTGCTATAATCTCCAGAAGCTGTGTGACAAGAAAAGCGAACTGGTGACAGTATTTGCCAGGGAAATGAGAGAACCTAGTCTAGGCCCCGCCCACGTGCCATTTGGACACATACACCTGGACGAGCTTCCAAAACACTGCTGTCACCCTGAGGGCCAGAGACAGGCTCACCGACACACACTCACTGCAGATGTACACGGCTTAAACACACAGTGTCAGATGATCACAGAAGTGAAGTTCTCTTAAACAGTTGCGGTACACACTCATACTGCTACAGGTGTGAAACCAGCGCAGACTGACGTTCAAGTACGAGACAGGCACGGGGACATTCAGTGCAGAGACATGCAAAGTTTCATCTGAAACCAAGCATGACTCAGGAGGACACAATGTTTTCACACACATAAATAGCCAGAAGTGACCTAAAAGTGTCATTTAAGTCCACAGCAACTATTGAAATAGCACGAGTGTGGAAGAGCTATCGAAGAAAAGGGTTCATAAATCATGCTCATAAACCTCAGATTAAGACTAATGTATCATTTAATAGTTCGTTTGCGCAGTTAAGGACGAATGAATTTCAGGGAAAGTGTAACTCCACAATCTCTCCTACTATTGAACTCATTTAGATTCATAATTGTTTCACATTGATAATAATGAGAAATAATCTCTTAAGGATCACGTGACACTGAAGACTGGAGAAATTATGCTGAAAATTCAGCTTTGCATCACAGGAATAAATTACATTTTAAAATACACTGGCCGGCCCCCCAAAAAATTCACTGTTTGGATTTAAATAGGCAAATACTTAAGAGTCTATGACTGTCCCCAGAGCCACACCAACATATTACGTAATTGCCACGAACCAATGGTAGTTTGAAGGCATTTACCAGCCAAACAAACTTCTTTTGGGCTGATTATGGGATGCCCCTCTTGATGGAAATAACATCACAACACTTAAAGAGGTGCATACATTTTTGGTCAAGATCTTGTATTGACGGTGCAAGAGTCCATCACTCTGTAAAGTCTCCTCCAGCACATCCCAAAGACTTTCAATGAATTTAAAGGGTTAGTTCACCCAAAAATGAAAATTCTGTCAGTAATTACTCTCCCTCGTGTTGTTCCAGCCCCGTAAGACTTTCGTTCATCTTCGGAACACAAATCAAGATATTTTTGATTAAATCTGAGAGCTGGATCACTCCTCCATAGGCTTCTTAAGGGATCGAAACTGGCCGGCCCAAAAGTTATGAAAGACATCGTTAAAATAGTCCGATTGACTACAGTGGCTCAACCTTAAGTTTATCAAGCGACGAGAATACTTTTGTGTGCAAAAAACAAACAAAAATAACGACTTTATTCAACTATTCATTTCCTTCTCTGTGGGCCGTGAGATTTCACGTAGTGAAACTGCGCAAAGCTTCTGTGTTGTACGTCACACGCATCACACACATGACCAGCGTCGGCCAATAGTGAGCCTGCGTGTGACGTACAACCAAGAAGCTTTGCGCAGTTTCACTACGTGAAATCTCACGGCCCACGGGACTATTTTAACGATGTCTTTCATAACTTTTGGGCCGGTCAGTTTCGATCCCTTAAGAAGCCTATGGAGGAGTGATCCAGCTCTCAGATTTAATCAAAAATATCTTAATTTGTGTTCCGAAGATGAACGAAAGTCTTACGGGGTTGGAACAACATGAGGGAGAGTAATTACTGACAGAATTTCCATTTTTGGGTGAACTAACCCTTTAAGGTCTGGACTCAGAGGAGCCTCTTCTTGTGTGAAAATGATTCTTCATGCTTTCTCCGAAACATTCTTTACAGTTTGAGCCTGATGAATCTTGAATTATGGTTAAAAGAACTGTTCCTAAACATAGAACATGTTAGAAACATAATAATCGCTGCAATAATGATCCAGTCATAGACTCTGAAGCATATGCCTATTTAAATCCAAACAGCAACTTTATTTTTTTTTTGGGCTGGGCTGTGTATATTCAAATAGAAAACGGTTCATTTTAATGATCAAAATTCAAAATATTTCACTATATCAAATAAATGCAGCCTTAGTGTTACAATTCAAACTGGTAAGTTTGTTAGCCTTTTCAAAGTATTTATTAAAAGCACTGGCTCATAAGAGTCATCTGTGCCATTTTTCACAGTATACACACTGCAAACTCACATTCACAACCTGGGTAAAATAGTTTCTTTCGTGACGCTGAAGATCGGTGCAGGAAACACTGGTTCATTCTGACATCACAGAATGAAATCAATTGTCGGTTCATAGGGAAAAACAGAAGCAAGAATTTTCTAAAAATATTTAATGCAAATTCAACTGCCTTTACAACCCATAAACCAGCATTTCTATCAGCACAAACATACTGTACACAGGGCCAGCATTGGTGTAAATGACTTTTATTTGGACTGAGAATCATCTGCTTTAAAAAACAAACAAAGCGAGCTTAATGAACCCCAAACCCCTTTCAAGTCCCCGACCACTTGATCCTCTCATCCAAGTCGGCCACACAGCCGGCCGGTGCCAAGCAGCACCCGCATTTAAGAGTCACTTGAACAGATATCTAATGGGGTTTATTCTCCCACAGTCTGGCAAGAGCTCCGTCTCCATTCCCACTCAATTCCAGCCGCCCGTCACGCAGGACGTCACACTAGCCCTTCAGTCCAACTCAGAGCCAGAAGTCTTCCTCTTTTTCTTTCTGCTGTGTTTCTTATGCTTCCTCTTTTTCTTTTTCTTCCTAGACTTGTCCTATAAATATAAAAAAAAATCATAGTCATTAATTATTAAAATGCCCCCTTTTCGAACATTACCTTTCATGCAGTGTGTAATATAGCTGTTTATGAATGTAAACGGTCTGCAAAGTTTTAAAGATCAAAGTGAGAGAAAAATAAAGTTATTGTCTCCTAAATGAAAGAATCGATTCTGAACTGGTGAAGTCGTCAGCAATTCCAGTCTCACTTCCTGATACATACCTGAACAATGTAACAAATTTGCATAATGCCAGCCTATAGACTTCATCGTCTGCCTGCGAACAAGGTCTACTTTGACCCTCAAACACTGTAGTTGAAGCTGAGACTGGAAGAGTTTGGTTCATGTTGTTCATGTCAAGAAGATGCTGTTTTCAGTGCTGAGAATCCACTTTGCTGCAATTCAAGAGGATGAGGACTCGGGCTCAAATTGATATGGAAAAACTGGCACTATCATTACTGTTCGTATCTCTGAGTATCAAGTATCAAATGGTAATAGGCGGTTCGTTTCCGAGATGCGCTGTAAGCGGTCGACCAATGACAACAGACTGGGCCGTCTGACCAATCAGAGCAGAGCAGTCTCTCAGAAAGGACGGGTTTAGAGAGACTGAATCTTATAACGAACCGTTTTCAGAATCTTCTGAGAAATGAGGTGATGTGCAATGTATATTATGAGAAAATGTAAGTGTTTTTTTGACCTTGGATGCATTTAAACCTATTGTAGGAGCCCTCTAAAACAAAAAAAGACCAAATCTTAAAATACCTTTTAAATAGCATAATAGGGGCTACATTTAAGTTCTGTTTTGCGAATCCACTCTTTATAACATTTCTGTGAGTGATGCGGGAAGCATGTTCAGTCGTTTCTGCCCTCATAAGGGCAAAAACAAGCCAAAGTCATGGATAAGCCGCTTTACACTGAAGACTTACTGTAATTTTATCCTTCTCTTCACTACTGTGTTTCTTTTTTTTGGGCTCAGCCTAAAAAAACAAAAACATTTACAGATGAGTTTCGCATGTCACATGGTATTTGCTGCGCTTAAACAGTTTAATGACACATATTAAGGTCACAGAGGGTTTAGACTCTTACGTCTCTGTCTACATCGGACTCATCTGAAGACTCAGAGTGACTCCTTTCAGCTTTCCTCTTCCTTCGACCATCCTTTTCATCCTTTCAAACAGAAACATTTTGTTCATGATACTGATACAAAACGATACAAAAGTTTTTAAAAGTTGAAGTTTTATTTGATTATCAATACAGTAAAAAACTGAAATATTATTACAATTTAAATAACTGTTTCCCATTTGAATACATTTCAAAATGCCATTGTGTCAATGTGATAAAGCTGAATTTTTAGCAGAATTAATCCAGTCTTCTCTTCAGTGTCACATGATCCTTCAGAAATCATTCTAATCTAATATGCTGGATATGGTACTATGAACTGTTGTTATACTAGAAAAAGAAAAACTTCAAAAACTCTATTTTTGTGTTTGAAATGAATGAGGGCAACGAAAGTCTTGTGGGTTTGGAACGACATGAGGGTGAGTAATTCAAGATAGAATTTCCATTTTTGGGTGAACTATCACTTTAAATCACTAAACTTTAAAGTTTTCAGTACCTTGACTTTCTCTCCATCCATTTTCTTCCTTTTTTTCTTGGATGACTCCTAGAGATAAAAGATATCAGGAATCAAGTCTTGACAAATACCTTCATTATCACCAGTAATTTAGCTTTTATGTAAATTCAGCAGTGGAATGGATTATTCTTAAAGGGGTCATATAATGGTACATGCACTTTTACAAGTTGATTGTACTGAAATGTGTGTTGGCAGTGCCTGTACACAAACATCATATAATGATAAAAATCCATCCAGTGGTTTTGTTTTAATCTCCTTATATGTTTTCCCCTGCCTCAAATCGAGCCGTTCGTTTTTGTGACGTCAATAAAACGGACGCCCCTCCCACGATTGTTGATTGACGGGAGCGTTTCAACACAGACCCGCCCTCGCACATGAGGTAGCTGTCAATCATAGTCTGCGCGGCGCGGACCGGCGCGGTCATTGTTGATGTGCTGGAGCACTGTCTATGAGCAGAATGGCGTCTAAGCGACGATTGTGGTGTTCTGTTCTTGGGTGTAATAACGAACACAGCAGTCATTTTAATGTTCCTAAATCCGAACCGCTGAAGACGCAGTGGCTGAGTTTTGTTTTCGAAGGGAATATTCCACACGAGCAACGTCAATGCTTTCATGTTTGCGCGAATCATTTCTCAGCAGACTGCTTTATAAACAAGGGTCAGTATAAAGCTGGATTTGCTAAGAAGATTTGCTAAAAAGGATCGGTACCAGATATTCGTGTTCCTGCTGAACCTCCAGAAGAACGGAAGTGAGTGAAACGTTTTATTAAACTTTATATTAATATATTAATCTTTGCAAATCGCTAGCTGCACGCTTCACAATGAATGCGTCTAAGGTTTACACTCAGTCAGGGTACATTACGGCATGTTTTCTATGTATGACGTTCTCAATATAATTCATAATTCCACATTTATACTGAACAACGCGTTATGGTTGTTGTGTTATTGTGTTACAAACGGTGTATGCACAGAACAGAGGGGCGGAGTGAGCGCAGCTCATTATCATTTAAAGTCATATGCACTGAAACGGCGTGCTGAAAACAGAGCTGTTTTTGACCAGGTAAAATAAGTGTTTTCTTATACTTTAATTAAAAATTCTCATTAGTATTGTATTACAAACTTTTAATTTAGACCCTAAAGAATCATATTAGCTTGTACAAAAATGGCATTATATGACCCCTTTAAAGACAAATCAATAGCAATTTCTACAAGAGCTGCCAATCTAGAATAATGTGTAATACATTGTGATTAGTTAAGGCCCCGATATACTCACGCCAAAGCTCTTTTTCATTCTTCGCTTAGGGGTAAAAAGAAGTTCGAAATACCTTTGCAGCGGAATACTGTTAGCGAGCATCCTGACGCCGTCAACGCTGCTGAGAGCGATGTCTAGATGAATATGGAAATTTGTGCTGCGCGCTTTCCTCTCAATAACAAAGTAAACACAATAAAAATGACAGCGGCGAGAAAACAAGTTAAGCATCTGATCATAGAGATGTGGATGTTTGCACAAGCTCTCCGCACAAGTTTATTTATAGCCCTTTATTTAAAAGATTGCTTTAAATGAAGCAACTATACAGTATTAAACATAAAAAAAACAATCAATGTCACTTTTAATTAGATTTACAACTTCATGTTCTACTGTGTTCATGTTTTTGCTTGTGGATATCTGACCTCAACAGACTGAACAGAAGTAGTGATGAACCGAAGAAGCCCCAGAGCCACAGACCAATGGTAGTTCGAAGGCATTTACCAGCTAGAGTGATCTTTTCTGGAATGTTTCAAACTCCCAAAACAATCTTTTTTTTGGCCTGATTTTGTTCAAAATGACGTCACACCACTTTGTTCTTCAATTTTGCTTGAAGTATATCAGGGCCTTAATGGAGACACTTCCATAACTGACAAGAACAATCTTTTTAAACTATGTTTTTCCTTGCAGATATGAACCAACAATACCCTGCTGTCAGTCTCGGACTCCGTGTCAGAGTCATCAGATGCTCTCCGGGCACAGGATCTTTTTCTCTTTTTCTTCTTTTTCATATTTTTCTTATCATCCTGAAAAGGCAGTAAACAGGAGAATATTCAGGGATAAGTCATGGTCATTTTAACAATGCAAGCAAATAAACAAGCATATTAGACATCATCTTACATCATCTTCAGAGTCTGAGGGGGAACTGGAGGAGGAATCAGAACTCGATGAGGAGGAGGAGGAAGATGAGGAATGCTTGACCAAATACAACAGAAGCAGAATTTGTTAGATTTTAAGTCACTTAAAACTGACCCTGTGTCCTGTGGATAACAGACCAGATTGATCCTGAATACTCTAGGAAAGCACATGCCTCTTCCAGTTTGGAACATTATTTAAAACTAATATTCCACTTTTCCATTATCAATTAATTGCTGGTTTATAGTTGCTCAAGATATGAAAATGGAGAGCTCTCCTCACCCTACTGGACTTTTTCTTCTCCTTCTTCTTTTTCTGGAAATCACAAAGATAAATATCAGATAACCATTGGAAATCTTTTTTAAATACAACAAACCAGGGACCTCATTTATAAAGAGATGCATAGAAAGATCCTAAAAGTGAACATACAACACTTTCCCAAATGTTCCTCTGAACGATTTATAAAATGTCTGTATGCACAAAAAAGTACCCTAACGCATCCCTCTTTTTAAAATCACACTTCCTCTTCAATTCAAGCACAATGTGAACATCTCAATTATTAATATAATTAATTATCTTCAGTAACTGATGTTGTATTTATTTATTTATTTTAATTTGACACTCATCAGTTGTAAGAACATTTTCATGTCAGTTTCTGCCATCCTAAATACTGTTTTGCTTCTCACTTTTGATGTAGGATGAAATTGGGATCAAATCTGACTGTACTTGCGTTTTATAAAGGAGGTCCCAGATTACTACACCAACTCTTACCTCCTTCTTTTCCTTTTCCTTTTCTTTCTTTTCACCTGCACCAAGTACCTTCTCCCTGTTTTTCTCCAGTTCCTTCTTCCATCGCTGAGAAAAATGAGAGAGAGCGGATATGATCCAAACATTAGATCTAGGTCTCTTGGAAATCCACTGACTTATAAAATGCAGAAACAAAACATCTCTACCTCGTTCATTCGGTCCTCAAAATCTGCCAGGGCTCTGGAGCCTTTCTTCTTCTTTTCCAGCTGTTCTTTTACCTCCTCCCTGATATACAGGACAAACAGACATACGCATAAAGAAATATGACATCAAAAATCACATATATCCACAACCGATTCATCATCAGTTTTGACTAGTACCATGATGGCCGTGGTCTGCTGAGATAATCCTGAATGGTGGTTCCGGTGTTGGGTGCAGGTCCTCTGGCTCTGGCAGCAGCAATTGGATTCAAGTACGCCTGAAACATAATCATATTTTAACATTCATAATCCAGCCAGCACACCCTTAAAAAAACAAAACAGACACTTGATAAACACACTTCAGCATCCACGTTACACTTACAGGCTGCTAACATAACTGTATACTGCTATTTATCAATTTAAACTACGAATGCAATACTTTTCACATGCTAAACAGAAAGACAGCAGCAAACTGTCTGTATAAAGGGACATTTAAGTGGAATATGTGCTAGCTGAGTTAGCATGTCTGAGCCACATACCTTAACCATACTAGCCTGCTATCTAAGCAATAACCACATTTTGCAAGCGTGTCAGACTGCAAACATAAAATAAACTGTATCAGCTGTCTAAAGAGCTTACTCATTTATTCTGAGAGTGGACGAGGCTAATATGTTTGACTAACGTTAAGTGTTTTGACGCGTTAGCATTGCGGCTTAAAGGCCTCTTGATTATTTTACTTGGAATACAAGTCCGTAAACTACCTTTACTTACCACTCTGTTATCTCGCTTGCCCATTTCTGCAGATTTTGCCTTAAGTCTAAAGGCCAAAATCTATGAAATTCGCCTTTTGTTTACATGTCTCTGGTGCTGTCGGTTGCTCTCAGTGTGCAGAGAGGATTTCTGAATAATTGCCAACTAGCGGTTGTTCAGCAACATGTTCACGAGAGGGCGCCTTCTCCTATTTTTTGGTCATTAAAGTTACCATGAAATCCAAATTGACAATTGATGTTTTTTATGGAATATTGCAGTATTTATTATAAATGATTTATCTGTGCACATCATTGTTTTTTTGTTTTTTTTTTTATTCATGATCGTAATCTTTAATTAAAATAACTTCCCCTCTCTCTGACGTGTTCACTGGCGCGAGGGCGGGACTACATTTTTCTCACTCCAGAAGATGTTTCACTCATAGACAGTAAAAGAAGGGATGTTACACTCATAGACAGTAAAAGAAGGGATGTTTCACTCATAGACAGTAAAAGAAGGGATGTTACACTCATAGACAGTAGGATCGCAACTTCTGTTTTATCTCGAATTTAAATGCAATGTGTTTTTTCACTCAATTATGTGTCTCCATCTGTACTAGACATTGTCTGGTAAAACTACATATTTTCTAGCAAAAACGACGTGATCTGGTAAAAAAAAAAAAAAAAAAAATACTAATTAAAGAGGAGATATTTTCTAACAGAATGAGATATTTTTTAAGCAACATCTGATCTGATATGAGATATTTTTTTAGGATTAATGAGAAATGTCATAAAAAGACATTTTAGTCTATAATAATTAAATATCCTGTCATAAAATGAAAAATGTTCTTGTTAATCTATGTTGTTATCTGGATAAAAAAAAAAAAAAAAGAAATTAATACTTTTATTCAGCAAGAATGAACAAAAGCAAATGGTCATTTGGTGACAATAAAGAATTTAACATTTATTGTTTTATTTCAAATAGCCTAAATCAGGTTCTTTTGAACTTTCTACTCATCTGAAAATCCTGAAAAAAATGTATCATAACTGTTACAACATAATAGGAAATGTTTCTTGATCATCAAATCAGCATATTATATTAGAATGATTTCTGAAGGATCATGTGACACTGAAGACCGGAGTAATGATGCTGAATATTCAGCTTTGCATCACAGGAATAAATTACGTTTAAAAACACATTCAAATAGTAAAGAGTTATTTTAAATTGCAATAATATTTCACAATATTGCTGTATTTATCAAATGAATGCAGCCCTAAACCCCAAACTTTTGAACAGTAGCCTATAGTGTATGTCGTAAAATGGTACATTTTTGTCTGAAAATAAGTACAAATTTTCATAGAACTATTGTATAAAAGCAATTTCACAATTGCGCTGTAGTAGCCTATCTATTCTGCTAAGATTCAGTTTCATAAGCCAAACAAAGACTTCTCAGACAGTTGATCTTAGTCCTGCTTTCATAAAAGCCCTTAGAGAGACCCTAAGTTTGCAAAAAAAAAAATATCAAAGTATGAAACCACAAAAGGAAAGCTACTCAAGACTGGACAGAAATTACAACACAAAAGGGTACATGCTGTCCCTAAACAGAGAACGCCTGACTGCACAAAGTCCCCTACTGTATATTCTTTCCATTGGATAAACTATTCTTATTTTACTAATGACTAGATATTCACTTTGTAATTGATAATGATTGTTGGAGTTTATTAGGTTAGTTCACTCAAAAAATGAACATTTTGTCATAATTTACTCGTCAAGTTGTTCCGAACCTGTATGAGTTTCTTTCTTCTGCTGAACACAAAAGAAGATATTTTGAAGGATGTTGGTAACCAGACAGTTGATGGACCCCATTTACTTCCATAGTAGGAAAAAAAATACTATGGAAGTCCATCAACTGTTTTGGCTACCCATATTCTTCAAAATATATTCTGTGTATATAAACGGTTTGGAACAACTTGAGAGTGAGTGCATGATGACAAAATGTTCATTTTTGGGTGAACTATCCCTTTAAGATTAGTAATAGACTTGTCCAGGTGGCGATTTATCAAACGACCTCTCACAGAGCTGAAGTAAAATAATAAAACAAGGAATTGTGGGAGATTTAGTGAAGCATTTTGTTCTCTCACATCACAGAAGTCAATTTTACAACCCAGTTTTACACACTGGAATATTTATTTTACAAAAATATGAAAACGTCAGCCAGATACAGATATAAAACAAATGCAAAAGCAGCTTTTTTTTCTTTCTCAATGGCAGCAAATTGGAATCTTTAGGTGGGCCAGTTTAATAAAACTCGTAAAGGAGCCAGAGCCTAAGACAAACATTAGCAGCAAAACCAGTCCAGAAAAAAAAACAAAGATACAAAATACTACCATATCTCATTCACCCCTTTTAAAAAAAAAAAAAAAAACCTAATATGGTTCTATAAGGGCACAATGACCAACACTCTCATTTCAATTTGGTTCTTGCAAAATCGTACACCTCTTTGCACTTTACAGACAAGAGTATAGCTCAACGAATGAATTTAGCAACAAAACATTTAAGAACGTGCCGTTTTAACAGAGGAACATAGCTTAAGAGATCCATTTCAAACTGAATTTCAGTATTTCATAATAAAAGGAGATACATTCTACTTATTGTATGATAAACCATCATCCCTGGACTAATCATGACTAGATAACCAGACGAGACTTAAAAAAAAAAAAAAAAATTAAAGATATGTCACGTGCACGTGATCTACAGTACGTCCACATGCGGTTTCATCACTCAAAAAACAAACAGATGCTAAAAGCAGAAGAATGCAGAATGATTTAGCAGTAGAATTACATACAGTTGAACAAATCAAAGCGTTGATAAAGAAAAAAGTTTCCATGTACACATTTTTCCATCCCCACTCTAAATGACAAAGCTGACAACATAACCTGCTAAAAATAATTTACACCACAGATTGGGTGTTTACAAAAAAAAGAAAAGAACATCATTCTCCAACCAATGACGAAAAAAAGAGAGAAAACCCTGACCAAAACTTCCCACTTCTAATCAATGTGCACAGTTAAAAGATGGCTAAAATAATTACTTTTTTAAATGATTACATAAATCCATAAAACAAAGAGCAACATATTATAAAAATGATAAGATATACTACATATTATGATTATAAAATGGAGATACATCAGAAATCATTCCACGCAGTTTAACCTAATTTTTCAAAAAAAATAAGTAGAATGAACCATATACATGTGATGCAGGCTAAAGTGATATAACACTTGATTATCCATTAATAAAATATAATATTGAAGCTGCTGATAAGAGTCATATTATAATGGTAATCATTTCCATACACAGTGTCTGTGCAGCAGCTAAACTGAATGAAAACATTGTGCACATTGATTAGAATATGTATTCATTGTTGATGATTTAGCATTATATTATTGTGATTCAAATGATAGAATTTTCCAGCTTAATGATTTTAAAATTCAAAGTATTGGGTACATTATAAATTACTTGAGTCAGAATTGGAGAACATAATAACACAAACTTGATCGTGTAAAAATGGTCAAATAGAATACAAATAAAATACAATACAATAAAAAGAAACCAAAATAAAATAGAACATTTAAAAAGACACTTTTATTGTTGCGGTTCTCTTCAGAACGAGTTTGCCTAATTGATTACAGTTGTTCAAGTCTGCAGTGACACGAGGTGTAGCACCATTAGTACATCACTGTCCAATCAGATACAAATTTGAGTTTTTACAATTGACCGAATGCCTTCTTAAGCACTGCGGTCAACTAAAAAAGACGAAATGTTAATAAATAAGAACAAAATGTATAGGGAGCAAAACATTATGTACCAATGTCAGGCAATTTTAAAAGGAATTTGCTTAAAATGATATCCGATTACATAAACCAAATGACTAACTAAAGAAAATCCTTTCAAACAACAAGACATTTTCTTTAAAACAAAGTTAAACGGATTCACGGGAAAAAACAAAAACATATTTCATGGGGAAAAGCACAGAGATGGGTAAAAATCAAAGGTGCTATTTTTTTTTCAGTATGACGTCACGCCAAAATTCAAATTCCATCACTAACAAGAACGGGTCGTACATTCGAAAGCCTAACGTTTAATACATTTATAATGTTAAAACACTATGAAGACCAACCAAGCTAAAAGCACATTAGTTCTATTCAAAGACCCACAAACATTAAGGCATACAGTTACATTGTTTGATATCCAATGCCCTCTGAAAACCCCGAATCCAACCACAGACCTCTCTGGAGGAGAGGAGGGGAAAGCTGTGCCAGCCAAACACCATGTTCAAAACGCTGGTGTTTTACACCAATGATCAATTGAAATCGTTTTTTAGATTGAGTCCACGAATAGCTGATCACAGAATATTTGAAAATGTTAACAGTACATAAGTTGCCACACAACAGTGATCTAATACATCAAATATAATATTAAGAATAATATTATATAAATAAAAAATAAATGCTGAAAATGACCACCTTTAGGTTTTATTATCCGTTCCAAAAAAATGTATGTAAGTCAATGATATAAATAACCCAACACTATTGTATCCATATAGCTTTGAGACCATAATCGATAAGTGTTACTGTGAGATTAATGGTTAAGCTAAAACCTGAACCCTGGTTGAATCTAAAACTAGTCATAAATAGACCTGAGCATGGAATGTGACAGAATGAGTATACCGATCCTGAGAGAATGAATCAAGCATCAGTGCTTAAAGGGATACTTCACCCCCCCCCCCCCCCCCCCCCAAAAAAAAATGAGCATTCTGGCATTAATTTACTCGCCCTCATGTTGTTCCCAACCGGCAAGACTTGCTTTCTTCCGCGGAACACAAAAAAAATATTTGGAGAAAAGCCACAGTATTTGTTTTTGTCCATACAATGGAAGTCAAAGGTAACCTGTTTGGGTGCCAACATTCTTCAGAATATCTTGCACAAGAAAGTCATGCAGGTTTGGAACAACATGAGAGCGAGTAAATGATGTGCGGGGTGAACTATCCCTTTAACTGTGTGAATGTTTTGTAGTACTACAGTGCCTGCCTATAGCTCCTCATTCCTCCTCAAACAGCTTCACCTGGATTCACCAGGCTAAATGCTCAAATCTGAAGCAGCGTCCTTCCTTCCCTCTACTTATATTAGTCACTTGCTAAACACAAAGGCACTGAACGGGCTTCAGCGACCCATCTAGCGGATATTGCGGCTTGGTGCAGTTTTACGATGATCTATCCAGACAATTAAGTGAAATGGAAGGATGTAGCATAGCGTGTATATAAAAAAAAAAAAAAAGGACCTGGACTTAATCGACCAATTACGGGATAATACATCACTCTCCAAGCCTTGAACAAATCTCGCAACCTGACCTCGAACATAACACGCACCAACTCTATAGCTACTTTAACTAGACTTTCATAACTATGCGCTAACATGTTTCTCTGTTACCCATCTCGGCTTATTTCTGCTCTAAACCAACTCTAAATTCAACATGCAACCCGGCGCGGGTCATCCTTCGACTAAGTCTCGGCGCTAAATCCCTGACGACAGGGTGCAGACTGTTTGGTATAAATCAACGAGTCTTCTACAACAACCTACACCTTCAAGTTCACTAAAATTAAGACATAACATGCCAAAAAAAAAAAAAAAAAGTCAACAATCAACACTGACATAATAAAATAAGTGAACAGGATGTGGAATTTATATTGAAGAAAAAAAAAATACGAGAGAATTACATTATAATGTCAACAACAAAAAAATGTGGTGTCAAATAGTGCTTCAAAGCTCTTTCCTGGACGACTCGAATGACGAGAACACCAGGATGCGATGCTTGCAACAAAATGCCTTATTGAATAGAGCACTAAAATGATTCTCCGTGTCCGTGGTTATGGAAGTCATCGAACAAGATGTGTCCACACTCTCCTGCTTGAACTGCAGAGGAGCAACGTGGCAGAAAACAATACAAAAATCCTCCAGGCCTGTGACCGAGAGGACTTCGATACAAGTGAGCTCAAAACAATTGTGAATTAGCCATTGTGTAAAATAGGAGGTTCCGTTCAACGGGCCCGAATTTGCAGTAGTTGCGGTTCTACATTTGCTCGATCCGAGTGAGACTGACACGGTCCCGTGTGAGACCTTGCTGGTTCACGGCAGTGATATGCAGTTAAGACAGTTTAGACCTGTACATGTAATGTGCATCGCGTTCATGCAAACAGACAGACCAATCCTGGCAGTGTCGTGATGCGGCTTCAGAATCGAGAAGCACATTTTCCTCTGAGCAGACGGACTTCCTTTGAGGAAGGCGGGTGGGAGATGAGAGCAGCTTCCAATATTGTAAAAAACGTAAATCCAGGCAGCATGGTGTCGGTCTGTATTAGCTGGCAGTAGTGAGGGCAAAGACAAATATGATCGACCAATAGTTGCGGTGATATTTCTAAAAGCAGCATGTGACATTATGCTATGGAAGACTAGTTCATGGGGTGAGGGGGGACTGGATGGGGAACCAGGTCCTTCAAGCAGCTCTCTCCTCCAGGGAGGGCTTTTTGCTGGGGAAGGGCTGGGCGTACAGACTCTTGCTGGTGCTGTCGAGACTCTGGAAGTATGGGTGAGACAGTGCATCATAAGCCGATATCCTTCTGGAGGGGTTAAACGACAGGAAACGCTGTGCAGGGGGGAAATGAGTAGAGAAAACAATTAGTAAACACATTTTAAATGAGTTTTAAAATGAAAAAAAAGTTGTTAATGACATCATACTTTCATGAAGTTAATTCTTCAATGACAAGTTAAAGTGCCCCTTTTTTGTTTGAGGGCTCCTACAATAAGTGTACATGCATCCAAGGTCAAAAAACACTTTCATTTTCTCATAAAATACATTGCAGCATCAGCTCTTTTCTCACAGTTTCTGAAACGGCTCGTTCGAAGATTCAGTCTCTCTAAACCCCTCCTTTCCGAGAGACTACTCTGCTCTGATTGGTCGACCGTTTACACTGTGCATCAGAAACGTAACGTCCATTTCTATATCTGAATTTCATCTCCTGAAGCTTCCTCAGCGCTTAATACATAGTGATATGAACAGTAACGATGGTGTCGCTTTTACCGTATCAATTCGAGCACGAGTCCAATAATAAATAATAATAATAATAAAACAAAACAACCCGAATCACCATTGCAAGAACAACTTGTACATTGTAGATGAGATTCCTTTGGAAGTGCTAAAAGCATTACAAAAAATATAAAATTTACTGAAATTATTCAAATGTATTCATTTAGCTTAAGATAGCACAATAAGATTTAGTAACAATAAAACATTATGTGATAAAAATGTATCAAACTGGAAAAGGTATCTGTCCATAGAATGACATTCAACAATTATCATCAAGACTATATTTAAGATATCCTCAGCATTGATATTATTATCTACTACTTACCAGTAAAAGTGATTTGCCCAGCTCATCCATGTCAGGCACCAGGTCCTCTATGGGCTGGGGAGGGCGAGGGGAAAAGGCACTCTGGGGTAAACCCACCTCCTGTGGCCAGTCCTCTGGAGTAGGAACCCCCACCACACTGTAACATCACATCAAAACAATCTCTTAAACACAAGACCAACAAGTTATTCCAGCATTATATTGTTTTCATTAAATAGCACTTACTCAAAAATCTTGCCTAACTGGTCAACATCAGAGTTTCCACGGAAAAGAGGGCTGGGGAAAGAGAAAAAACATGTAAATTAATTGCGTGATTGATTTTGTAGCAATAACTACACCTAAATGACACTTTAGTTGTTACTCATAATTAATAAACAAAAATAAATAGACTAAAATAGATACATTAAAATAAATAATTGAGCAAATAAAACTAAATAAATAAGTAAAAAACAGGCTTGTTTTAGTTAACCGAAACTAAAGCCGTAAAATAAAACAGTTTTGTTAAATGAAATAAAATACCAACTCAAATAAAATATAAAAAACAAAAAAAAAATGTTTTATTTCAGCAATAGTTGCCAAGTCTCATTTTTATTTAACTTGATGTACTAAAATAACTAAAACTGAATTAAAAAAATTAAAAACTATATAGAAATATATATAAAAATAAAACGTAAAATACCAAAATTACCAAAATACACAACAAAATTAATTACACTAATTAGAATTAATAGAAATAAATAATTCTATATATATAAAAATTATAAAAATTATAAAATAAAATATTTTTCGTGGTACTAAAATAAACCGGTCTAAAACCAACTCAAAGAAATTAATTAAAAGAATATATCTAAAATAAATAATCTTGAATATATAAAACCAAAATGAATAAACTAATATAAATAATTAAAAAATTAAATAAATTAACTTAAATATATCAAACCAAAAAGAATAAATAAAATAAAACAGAAATAAATAAACAAATTAATAAATGTACAGATAAAAACACTAAATGCAAGGCTCCAGGCCAGTGACAGTCATGAAACAAACAAAGGTTGTGTTTAGATGCTCGCTCCTAATTCTGCAATAATCATGAATGTCTCCTGCCTGTCTGCCAGAGGCAAAGATGGCAAAGAGAAAGAAAATCTTTATAAGCTGCACTTTATAAATAAGGTCCTAAAGCAACATAACAGACATTGGTCTACTGTATATGCGTTGTTTCCTGGCCAGCCCGAGGCTGAGAAGATCTGAGGACTTTTTTAGCACATGCTGAAGTCCACCCGCCCGGACTGCTACTGGTGCCTGTGGCTTCAGGCCAGTTAGGACACCCGTGGGCGGGCATGCTTCCCTTGGCATGCACACAAATTCCAGGAGCCACAAGCACAGGGCTCAGTCTCCAAAACACACCACACAGAGTAAAAGAGAGAGAGAGAAAAGCTATTTATCCCTGCCGTCTGCTTTCGCTCTCCACAAATCTCTATGTGAGAGAGCAAAGATGAACCGTGTGAAAGAACAAAACCAAAGTACAGAAACAGACACATATGTGAATTATTAACTAAATTTAGCTTACTAATAAATCATTTTCACAGACAAGTCTTTGAAAAAAGCTGCAGAAACTGCACTTGCAATTTCCCCTGCCGCCACCAGATGTCGCCCTACAGCAAGACAAGCACCAAACCCTCAAAGTCTCTTCCTTCACAGCCACTCAAAGCGTCGACTTGATCGCAACTGTAATCAGACAAAGGGCCAGAACGGAGCACGTTTCCTTACGCCTCCATTTTTGAATGAGGTTCAAAAGCTTTCAAAACTTCCTTTAAAGATTAGTGAGAAACACAGACAAAAGTACGCATATTTTTCAGAAATAATGTGACGATAGGCCAGTTCACAACAAAAATGATAACTATAACTAAATTAGCGTCCACACCAGCAGACAATAACGTCCTGTTTAAGTGAGCGCAGGAGTATGTCGTCTGCCGTTTTAAATGCTCGAGCTCTTTAAAGGGCCACTGAAGTGCCTTAAAACATGCAGCATTATTCAATGTGTTGACGTAATTTCCACTGAAACAGGGCAGGACATATTGAACAGCCCCTCCCCTTTTTAAATGAGCTAATAGCATTTCGTTGATATCACAGCTAGGCCAGAACCATTGAGCTCGGTAAAGCCGCAGTTTCCTCCTAATCTCCTCCATATCGCATTAAAATGCAGAATTCAAATGGGCCCGGTCTGCGCCGACTCGCGCATATGATCCGCTCTGTGCTGTCGTGTCTCTGGACCGGAGCAGACTGTGCGCTGCGGTGATTCACGTCACACTAACGTGAAACCAGACTTCATTCGCCCCATTGGAAAGCACATTTACACTGTCTGAATCTATATAGTGCACTAGTGCTATTCACCATTTAGAAAATAGTAAATGTGTGGAGAGTGACCGATTTTAGCCACAGCTTCAACACAATACTATTTATAATGTAGGGGTCGGGACACTTTAGATTCTAGACAGCATTTGATTGGACAGAAAAACTGACGAGAAGCTGAAGTGCAGAGTGATTTCATCAAAATCATTGATCCATACTGGAAGTGAGAGACTGTAAATTTCGAATGCTTCTATCTTCTAAACGTGAATTTTTTCCATTGTTTTGGAGAGCATTAGCTTATAGACAACAGTAAGGCTAACATATTCATACTAAAAGCCAAAATACTTCTATTTTGATTTGATGGGGACTTTAAGGTAGGATGGATTCGTTAATCAGCTGAAAAGAAAAAATTCTGAAAGTGATCCCAACGATATTGTTCCCCTGTGCTGTTATTGTTATAGTCGTGGTGTGGACTGCACTATTGCTTTAAATGTATAATGATTTTTTTAAACTGTCGTTAGCTAGCTACTATACGGTTAAGATGCTGAACATTCTTCGCAGGTGAGGCGGACGTTTCAGATGCTGGCGTAACTTTTCACTTTGAACACGCTTGTTAAAAAAGAAAATTGCCTTTATTGTGTCGTTCACATACCACATCCACTGCTGAAACCCTTAAAGGCAAAGTCAGTCCCGAGCAGTTAAATCAGACAAAAGCTGTTCTATCTTCTAACAGTCAAGGGGGGCAGATCTCACCTAAAGCAGTGTCATGCCAAAACAAGTAAGTATGGCTGAATTTCTCTAGTCTAGAGCACATTCTGCCTTCCCCTGGGCTACTTGGTAGTTTGAATGAATTAGTGGCTTTTCGCACAAGGCAGACATTATGCCGGGGCAGAGGCTTCCTGAGTGAGTGGGCACAGCACAGGGCGCTCGCACCAGGCCAGTACACGCAGTTGAGTCACGCTCCGAGTGCCAGCGTCTCGATCCACATTCCACCCGCGCCACCTCTGGAATGCATCAGTGTATCTGAATCTGTGAAAACTGGTCTGCCAGAAAAGGTGCGTGCGAGTCCATTACGAATAAGAGCGCCCACGATGCAGGAAAGGCAAAATTAGTTTAAGTCACCTTTATTTATATAGCGCTTTTTACAAAACAGATTGTTTCAAAGCAGCTTTAACAGTGATAACAGGAAAATAATGCAAAGTTTGTTTCGGCTGTACAGCAGATCTAGAAGAAAACAGTGATGTCATCGTCCAGCTCAGTTCAGTTCTCATATAATGGTGTCAATGCAGGCAGATCAATAATATTGTTGAATATTAAAGGTGAACTAAGTAACTTTTTTACCTTAACCGAACAGCTTTGGAGTCATTGTAATGTTTATATTACTGATTTCGTGTTGAATGGTGGTCGTCTTGCACCCCCCTGGTGCCTGTGAGCCGCAAAACCACCCTTGCAACTTTGGGCTGGCGGGCCGGTATAGTATCGTATGATATCAGGTCTTGCGAGGTAACGAATTGCTTTACGGCAAAAAACAGATCTGATAAAATTCTGATAAAATGAGCATCAAACAGAAATAACCTGGCACCGTATATATGTGGTGTTGGACGCGCGCAGCTCTTAAAGGGGCCATACCTTATTTCCACTTGTTACAGCGTCCATCCTACTGAACAGGTACCGGTGTACAGGGGGAGGGGATCCGGCCGTGAGTGCGAGCCATCTCTGCGTGAGTGCTATTCACGACAGTACAAGTACTCCACACCGACTCTAGGGGTCGCTGTTTGACAAAAACGGAATTCCTACTTAGTGCTGCTTTAAGTGTCACCAACTAAGCAAGCCAGAGGTGACTGTGGCAAGGAACCAAAACTACATCAGGTGACCGAATGGAGAGAAAAACCTTGGGAGAACCCAGGCTCAGTCGGGAGGTCAGATCTCCTCTGGTCAAGGAACGAACAGTGTATGATTATGATTTAGGCAACATTACAGGTGTGAAATGGGTATGATGGGATCGTAACATTCAGAATATTATCCAGTTCCATTTAAAACACACACGCCAATTTCTTAGGGTGTATTCACACCAGGAAAGTCCGATAGTTCACTTGCTTTGGTCCGGACCAAATACATTTTTTTTTTTTTTTTTGGTACGGTTCGCTTTCACACTGCTCTTTTTGCAAGTGAACCAAAATTTGTAAACAAAACCACGCGTGTGCTAAGGTCGTCCATTCATTGGACAAGGATTCTCAAGTAGGGAAATCAGGAAGTGCAAAAAAGGCTCAGCATGGAGATATTTCGTACTGCAATATTTGTTCTTTTACTAATTTTGTGTTATTCTGTACAAACGCAATATGAAGAAAATGTTAATAAGGGACCTCGTCTCTTTGAAGCTCCAGGTCAAACCACGACTCGTTTTATCAAATGTTGTAGGCTACAACAGATCACTTTCCCATAACGCAACTCCGACTATGGAAGCCTGTTAACTCAAAGGCGCAGTGCTTTCTTGCAATTGGGTCGGTTCATTTTCACACCGTAAACGAACCGTACCAGAGTTCGTTTGGAACCGTACCGAGACCACCTCTTCAGCTGGGTCTCGGTTCGATTGTTTGGTCCGCACCCGAGTTCGATTGCTGTATTCACACCTGCCCAAAAGGTCCGCACCAAGGGGGGAAACGAACTAGAGTTCGTTTCAATCGAACCAAACAAGGCAGGTGTGAATACACCCTTAGAAACGTTCAGATTGGGTTCATGTTGGTTTCATATGGTCAGAGGTGGACAGTAACGAAATACATTTACTTGATGCCTGTCCTTAAGTAAACTCACTTTGAGTATCTGTACTTGAGTAGTATTTTTTCTGGAAACGTATGACTTTAACTTCACTACATTTGAAAGACAGTACTATGGTACTTTTCACTCCACTACATTCCTATCAAGGTCCT